TCTTCTTTGTGCACGGAGAATGATATCACCTAATAAACATATAGACAAATTGTGCATTAGTTTATTACGTAAGCAAATAACACAATGAAAATGCATAAATCAAAATTGTTACCTTGTCTGGTGTGAGTTCTCTAAAAAGATGTTTAGCCTGACGTTCGTCGGCTGGTATTTTAGAGTCGGACCATCGAAAAAATCTTGGGTATTCGAAAACGCTTGTTGCGAATCCCAGAGAAGTGATCCTTTCACTCACCCATGCCAACAACCCAATGGTGCAACCATCAAAATACCCTCCTGCCCCAGCCAAGTGTGCCTCAATATTTTCAATGAGCACATCATACACCAATTTTCCCCACGCAAAATCTCCTACGCGCTCCAATTTGTCAACATGTGGATAAACGTACCTCGGCAGTTGAAAGTTGCCCTTTGGCAATAAGAAAGTATTGCAAGCGAAAATAATGTACAACCTACAAAAATCCTCAATTGATTGTTGGTCGGTCCTAACAGCATACTCTTCCAATTTTTCAGCAATTTGATGACGCTTTACTTGGGTCAATTTACCCCCAAAAACACGTCTAATGAAAGGAGTTTCTATTTCCAGGTTTTTATCGATGGGTATCCCCTTAAACTGTAGTCCCATCATGATGCAGAACTCCCTAGGATCAAAGACGACAGGGATAGTTTTACCTCCAAACCAGAACGTACGTGTCTCCACGTTGTATGTCCTCTTCAACAGAACAGACACCTTTAAGAAACTATGGTATATCTTAGGCATGTTTAAGAAATGCCCGAAAGGATTTTCCTCCAATGCAGCATAGTGTCTGGCCGTCATCATAGGTTTAATTATGTCCATTTGTTCTTTGAAGGCGCTAGGAGAGCACCTGCATGCTTGTTGGGCGTCATCATCTGCAAGTGTATTACGATTATAACGGAAAAACAATAATCAGAAAAAATACAATTGTAAAATAACAATGGTACTATGTAGGTATTGTAATTATACCGTCACTATATTGTATCAATACCATACACCTACAGTACTTATACTGTTGGGCAATACGACATATACTATTTAATTACCTCAGAAGAACTGCCATTACCTTTTTTTATACCTTCTAACTACAATAGCACTA